ATGGTCGTCGGTCGATTGTGGCGGCGCGATTGTGACTTGGCCAAGGGGACGGTTCCGCCTATTCCTCCGGACGTAAGGAGTCCCCATTTTCTAATTTCTTTCTGGATGTACTAGTACTCACTACAATCCGAAGGGTTAAAATAAAATATGTGTATGTTTCTGAAACACGCATAAGTGTATATAAATGTTTTCATGCGGGGAGACGAGGGGATAAATCGGAAGGAATGGCATTTACTGGTTAGCTGGCTGTCCACGAGATCTCGGGTAGCTTCTGGTTGGTATGAAACCGAGGAGGTCCGTTGTCCGCGGAGAGCGGCAGAAGGGCAGTCGTAATGGCGTATGCCTGATGATTCCAATGACGATTTGCCCATAACTTCGCACTCGTATGAAACCGCGAACTGGCGTGATTATTGTGGGTTCTGGTGAGATTTCTGCCTACGACAGGTTTAGATCGCGAACTTCACTGACGTGAACCGGGTTGTTTCGAGTTTTGACTAACACTCTGCGCTTCCGCGGGACCTCTATTTATACCCCGAAAAAAGGGCATTGTGCCCTTTGTCTAGGATGCTAAAGTTAGTTGCAATGTATGTATGTCACGTGAGATTTATGATTTTTATAGCGTCCTATCGTTGTTAATCTAAAGTACATCGTTAGAGGAGTTTCGAGAAGAAAAGAAGTGATTTACTTTAAAGAGTTTTTCTTTAAAAAGCCAAGATTGCTCCAGACGGATGACGAATTCTGTTATTCTCGCGGAAAATACGGCTAGGTAAGCAGATGGTTACCGTGCACAACTAGTTTTGCGTGTAGGACAACCATTGTCAGTCGCAAGTCTGATCTTAGATAACGCTACCGTGGGATATTATCCCATGCGTTCTATGATTTTTTAGGCGCTTTCCTAAGATGAAATTGTTGGTCAGTCTGGGACGACAAAGCTTAGATTTTTACTATTGCGTGACTTCGGTGCATTTATAATGTTTTTTGTAATCTTGTCTCTTTTCAGGCTTGCATTATTATTCCTTCCGAGTTGATTGGCGTACGAGTTCACGGAGCCTATCCCTCTTTTCAGTTCTGTCAGACCGTTATCAGAAGTCTCCACTCGAGTCTCGCAGACAACTACAGTGGCGATGTGGAATCGAAGAAAAGAATCGTGGCGTCTATAGGACGTAATAGTACACATACACATGTATACATATAACTTTATGTATACAGGGTATTTGGAAAATAATGATAAATCTTTCGCATAAGGGCAGAATGAACTAAACTGAGAAGAAAAGTCCTGTATCATTTAGCAATTTTCGCAATAATTAGCAAGATGTTAATTACTAAAAATTGCCAAAAATTGATCTTTAATAATTTTTTACTCAAATACTATCAACTTTACAAAAAAACTGCAAGAGATAATAATTATTAATTTTCTTTTCATAGAGCTCTAAGAATTTTTTAAGAATTTTTTCAAAATTTTTTAATATTGTATTTTCTTATATTAGTAAAAATGAGAAAATGCAGTACTAAAAAGTTGATAAAAAATTCTGAAAAAATTCATAGAGTTCTATGAAAAAAAAAACATTTTTTGTCTTTTGTAGTTTTTCTGTAAAGTTGATAGTATTTGAGTAAAAATTATTGAAGACCAATTTTTGTCAATTTTTAACAATTAATATCTTGTTAACTATTACAAAAATTCCAAAATGGTTGAGTACTTTTCTTCTCAGTTTAGTCCATTCTGCCTCTATGCGAAAGATTTATCATTAATTTTCAAACTCCCTGTATATAAGCAGCCTATAAAAATATATAGTAACGTAAATTATAGTTTAATATTAGAACTACAATTAGTTCAAGGAATAATTGTTCTGAAATATTATAAAGATCTCAAAAAAGCTGTGAATAATATGCATTACGCATAAAGGACCACAAAACGCCATGCTATTGTTTAAATTTGCATAACTTAAAATATATACAGTCAAATGAAATGTTAAATAGCAAAATACATTCAAATATACATATATTTATGTGACAATATTCAAATTTAAGAAAAATGAGGAAGTAGGTGTAATTAAATGCTAAAATGTATCTCAGAAATATTTCAAAATACAAAAACAAGTAAAAATGCGTTATAATAAAATATAATAAATATATGTTTAAAAGGTCTTTTTTTGTTTTAAACATGAATTTTTCTAAAGTTGTTTAAAACATATATAAAACATTAAAAACATGTTTTTAACAAAAAAAATTGAATTTTTTTTTAAAACACATTTTTTATCAACCTTCTCTCATTTCGCGCACTGCCTCGCTTGCGTTCTTCAACTTTTCAATGGTTTGAAACAAGTTCGACAGAAAAAAATTTGAGAATTTTTCAACAGCAAATTCAATTCTTCATTGACAAATTGATGTCAGACGGAACTCTTAATTTTAAAAATTAGAGCTGTTACATACCGATAAAATCTTCTTATTCTTTATAAATATTCTTCATAGATATACGATTTATACTTTACTTTTATCTTATCATTAGATTTCCCTATTTTATCTTTATTTCGAAACCGGAAATTCCGTTTCTCTTTTATAAGAGGGTATATTTAGTTTCTTTATTTAAACATTCAAACTAACAGATAGATCACGTTATACATACTTTTATGCGTCATAAAAATTATCTACAGGTTATTCTAGAAAGAATGTCTAAGAATATCACACGATCTTTCTCAAAGAAGCCCTCATATAAAATAACAAATATAAAAGCGTACATTAACATTAATAATAATGTATATTATATTAGCGTTTAACAATTAAGTAATTAAGTTTAACGATTAGCAGTAAAATAGAAATCTTCCTGAATGCGAGAACGAATCTCTTTTTTTTCCCTTTTTCTTTTTCTAATAAAGTTAAATTAATTTTAAACATATGAGTGTAGTGAATTCGCCTCGCATAAAGGATATTAAGGAAAACTGAATTTTTATTACAACAAATTGTTAAAACTCAACCATTACTTATTAAGAATAAACTTGTAGAGTGGGGAGTATGGCTTACGCGGAGCATTGTTGCCTTATCTCAAGGAAAGCGCGAGTATAATAGGTTCTACCAAATTTTGAGGAGTGTCGATTGGTTCTGAAAGGACACTCCCACACTTTCAGAATATAAAAGGAGCTGTCAAAGACAACCTCACTGCACTGCACTGCTCTTCTTTTCCTATCCTCTTCTATCCTCGATTAATTCATCAGTCACCCAGTCAGTCAGTTAGTTATACTAACTATTAAGGTGAGAACTATCCTCGCGCTTCATCAGAATCTCACTTTTCTTTTTCGCATTGTCTTACTTATAGCATTTACCTTTTTTTTAATAAACGATAATATTAAATCGAATCTATCGACGGAACCTCTAAATCTCTAATCTCTAAATCTATTACATACAAGTACATATACAAGTATATATACATATATGAATATCTGAGGGGCTGTTGCTGCCAATAGCGTGGCCCCCGTTTGTTAACACTTCCTCGGAGAATTCATAATTTTCTCGTATCCAGAGAGCTGTTACGACTGTCGCTCCCAATAGCGTGGCTTCCGTTTACGACGGTTCTCCGGAACAATATTATTATTTTTCTTTTGCATTACCTTCATGCCTACCAAAGGCAGACGAAGATAAAGAGAAAAGAGATTGAGGTTCCAAGTTAATCGGCTTGATTTATTTCAAATCAAAATCCTTTCCCCTATTTCCAAAAACTTGCGCAATTGCTAGACCAAGACAAACCGTTAGACTCACCCCGTGAACCTGTCTACACTCTAAGTAAATTGGAGGTCAATCTCACGTTTCCTAATTACAAAACCATTCCAAAGCCTGATCCACGTAGATTCGCCTATCTTTTTGGCACCGGATTCAAAATTACCCTTCCTTTAAATTATCCAGTACTTTCCAGTGAACCGCATCCTTAACCGCACAACTTAATCTCCGGTCCCCGAGTAAATTGTTTAAATACTGTTCGAGATACGGCCAACATGTACATAATTTTCACATTTGGCGTTCGTGCGACATACGGATCGAAAGCTTCTAGAAGGATCTCAAGCGTCCCTAGAAGTTTCCAAAACATAAACTCGGCTATCACCTCGTCGATAAAGTCAAAAAACAATAAGTTAACCCGCACGTCGCACGTACGCAGATCTCAACCGCTATAACGGCGAACCAATTCGGATCGGTCGCAGCGCACGAGCGATCGCGTGACGCAAAACGCGTAATATGCGTTCATCCCAATCAAGAATCCAGATTTAACGGGCGCGCATGGCAATAGCGTGCCGCTTGGCCGTTGCGCTCGAAATCGTCAATCGCCACCCGAAACAGAGGATCACCTCAAATTTTTCAATGTGTAAAAATCTCATAGACGAATGCAAAGGGAAGCCTTTGTTCTCAAAAGAGCATAAAAGGCAAAACCGAGAAGCAATAACTCTCTTAGTTTGTCCACCATTCTGAGTCAACGTATCGCTATCAGTGCACTGCCAAGGAGACGCTCCGCCGCTAGAAAACCGCCGCGTTTGATTCGCAAAGAATATTATTAAATTGAAGCGAAATACAACTAAACGCCGTATCACTTTAAAATTTCACGTCAACGCTTTCGCTCTGACTCGCTCTCGAACATTGTTGGTTCTTCGAGCCGGATTCACCTTCGCCGAATTTATCGTTCGTTCGGGAATATTATCGCGTTCAGTGCGCGTATTATCCAGAGAATCAGAGAGAGAAGAATTCGCAAGTGAAATCATGAGTGACGAAATAACCGCCTTGCTGACCGCCCAGAGTGACATCCACGGTCGCATGACCAGGTCAGTGACCAATTTGAAGAAAATAGGGATGGCCAACATCACCCTCCACGCTGTCGAAACCCGCTCAGCGCTTCTCGACCAGCTGTGGACGAAATTTGAAAAACAACACGAGCTTATTCGAGCACATTACAAGGAAGCCTTCGATCAGAGTGAGTACAACACGTCTCAATTTGCCGATTCCGCCGAAATCACGTACGTGCAACAGCGCAGCATGCTGAACGATTATCGGACAAAGCTCAAGGCTGAGAAATCAAGTACAGCTCCTCCGAGTGAATCGGGAATCGATTGTTCTACCAAGTCGGCGCTGCCGCGTTTAAAAATCCGATCGTTTTCGGACGCGTTTGAAGACTGGCCATCGTTCCCGGATATATTCTTGTCCATCGTTGGCAACAATCCGTCTATCTCAAACGTAGAGAGATTTAACCACTTAAAGCATTGCTTGGAAGGATCCGCGGAGGCATTGATACGCCCGCTGGCCGTAACCGGAGACAACTATTCGCGCGCGGGGGCGCTGCTCTGCAAGCATTACGAGAATAAACGGGAGTTGTCGCGCTCCAATTTTTGCACGTTCACCTCAGTGTAAAAAATGAAAAGCGATATCGCCGAGGAACTTAGCCGCATCTACAACGCCGCGATCAGTGTCGTGAACGGCCAAGAAAGCATAGGGAGATCAATTGATTCACATGGATTCGACCTTTTGAATCACCTAGTCATCGAGCTTTTCGCGCCCAAAAACGCGTCTCGAGTGGGAATCGCACACGAGCGATTCCACGGACTTGCCAAACCACGACATGTTGTTGGACTTCATCACAAGGAGAACGCTAACTCTCAAGGCCGCCAAACCAAGGGTTACTAAGGGCCTTGGAGATCCACTGCGACCCGCGAAGTCGCACGTCGTCAAACGAGTGGCCGACGCTCCCGGCTGCGTCCTGTGCAAAGGTCGGCATAACGTAATGGTGTGCGAACAATTTAAGTCGAAATCCGCGCTCGAGCGAAAGTCCGTCGCCGAGACACATCGACTATGCTATAATTGCCTCGGTTCGCACCCTGTCGCGAAATGCCAGTCAACGAAGATGTGCTTCTCGTGCAAGGCGAGACATCACACACTCTTGCACGAAGCGTACGTCGCTGCGAACCCCGCCGACGCCAGTGTGTTGACCGCTGTGCGCCAAGACAACGAGTGCAAGGTCCTGCTTGCTATCGCGAGAATCACCGTCGACGATCGTCACGGGGACCCGGTTAGAGTCCTGATCGATCAAGGATCAGAAGTGTCCTTGACCTCCGAGGCGCTAATCCAGCGCTTGCGCCTACCGCGATCTCGCGCGGCAATCTCAATCTTTGGCATCGGCAGCTCATCCTCGGGTTCCTGTCGCGGGAAGGTGTCTCTCAATCTCACCTCCAGGATCAATGGAGCTCGAGTCACCGCTGTTGCTTTCATCCTGCTACGTTTCTCGTTATATCAAGGAGCGGCTACGACATATAAGACTACATGGCCTCACATCGAAGGTCTCCAGCTAGCCGATCCGCAATTCTCAGCCGCCGATCCCATCGAGATGCTGCTCGGCGCGGAAGTGTGCTCCATCATTCGGCAAGAAGGCCTTCGAAAAGGCGATCCACACACTCCCGTCGCTCAGCATACTCTGCTCGGATGGATTCTCTCGGGAGCCTGCGGCGAGAATCTCCCAGCGACTCCACACCGCTCTTTCCAGTGCACCGACGACCACGAGCTGACCGCGCTCGTGCCACGTTCTTGGGAGCAAGAGAAGGAACCTTCCGCCTCAGTGTCCATCACGCCAGACGAGCAACGATGCAAGGAATTCTTTGCTCAGACGCACAGCCGCACCGCTGCAAGGAGGTACATTGTGTGACTGCTATTTGCCGCGCCGCCGGCAGCACTCGGCGACACCCGCCAATCAGCCGAGCGCCTGCTCACCGCCATGGAGCGACGATGCGACCGCAATGCTCGATTCGGGTCTGTACCGCGCCTTTCTGAAGGAATATCCTTCCGCCTCAGTGTCCATCACGCCAGACGAGCAACGATGCAAGGAATTCTTTGCTCAGACGCACAGCCGCACCGCTGCAAGGAGGTACATTGTGTGACTGCTATTTGCCGCGCCGCCGGCAGCACTCGGCGACACCCGCCAATCAGCCGAGCCAC